TTTTACTGGGAATTGTCAATTAATTATGTTTTATTGGTATAATTTTTCACCTGAAAAATATTGAAATTTGAATCTTTTGGTATTCGTTTGACTTTATTTTTCATGAAAATTGTTCATTAAAGAAATATAATTTATTAAAATTGAGGATGAAATTTGTTTCCATTGTCAAAAATAATAATAATAATACAAAAAGTTACCTAGATGGGAAAAGTTTTTCCTCAACAACCAAGAAAATGTGGAAAATCGATTCCATGAAAAATTTAGTCAATCAAACATGAAAAATGTGGAAATGAATTTTAATTTCCATTTTCCATGAAAAAGAAAGCCAAGTCAAACATGGCTTTACCTCTTTCTCGTATAATTTGTTTTACTGAGATCGTATATATTCTCTAAATATAAAATTTGTTAAAATATATTTCGTGGCTTCGACAAATCTCTTTATTTTATTCACTTTGATAAAACCCTACATCACTTTTCTTTCCAGTCCAATTGCTATAAATAAATGTCCCAAAGCCATTAATTTTATCACTTTTCCTTCATCTTCCTTCTTACCTTCCTACAAGGTGTGAGTCTGCTTCTTGAATATATATTTTTATTCATCTTTGAGCTGCAAACCAGAAAGCTTGACCAGATTAAAAGCATTTTCTGAAGAACATATTTTTGGAACTTCATATGGAATCTAACAGTCTGCTAAATACTTCATTGGATCTCAATGCCGCACCTTCAAGATTTCAAGATGAGGTGAGTAATTATTTTGAATTTTGTGTCATGTTCGGAATTGAATCTACGAGCTTTAGAGTGTTATCGATAATCAAATTCTTCGATTCATCATACGATAAGAAAAGAGTACAAATTCATGGCTCCTAGAGATCGTCTCAAGATGATTTTGGAAGGTCCAAGGTTGACTTAAACCTGTTGAAACGATTTGAGAAAATAATACCTCTTTTTCGAGCTTAATCATGCTTCTAAGCAAAACTCGAAGTCTTGGAGCCCGTGGAATTTTGTCCGAAGTGCTTAGTTTAGAGTTTTAAACGGGCATTTTCCACTTGCTCCTGAAAATTCTGGCCTATTTTCAGTTTCGTTTCACTCTCCGACTCTGGTTTGATATTCTTCTTGAACCAATGAGTCTTTCACTTATCGTCATTCGTTATTTACACTTTTAATTATTACTCTAAAATCATTCGATCTACATACACTGCAGCCAATATTCAGAATATTTTCTTTTCATGATTTTAATCAGAGAAGTGCTTTGGTAGATGAACTGAACCGAGTAAGTGCTGAAAACAAGAGGCTCACAGAAATGTTAGCAGTGGTGAGTGAGAATTACAATGGATTGCATAGCAAATTAATGGAGTATAAAATCAAGAATCCAGGAATGGATAATACTGCAGCATCAAGAAAAAGGAAAGCTGAAATCAATGGCTCAGGTTCTGAGGGCAGCTCTAGTGATGAAGAAACATGCAAGAAACTAAGGGAAGAACACATTAAAGCAAATATTTCCCGGGTTTTCGTAAAAACACAAGCATCTGATACAGGCCTTGTAAGTCAACATTTATTCCGTTGAACCAACTCATCTAAAATCTTAGGCTATTAGAGAGAAAATGAGCTTTTGAATCGTGTTTTCTTAATGAATATTGTATATAAAAATTGCAGATAGTTAAGGATGGATATCAATGGAGGAAATATGGACAGAAGGTGACTAGGGACAACCCTTGTCCAAGAGCTTATTTCAAGTGCTCTTTTGCTCCTACCTGTCCAGTCAAAAAGAGGGTAAGCCACAATAAAACCCCAGTTAACTATCAGTTGCCATTTATTAGTAATAAGTCGATTTGCATTATAAAAGGATGTCAATTAACTGCGACGAAATAATTTCACAGAATTCAACCGATTGCTCATTGAGAAATAGGAATTCGTGTTATGGAATGATTTTATCATTTTATGCGATCGTTTCTATATATGGGATTCTAATTAGAAGCTTTGTATCATGTGGCATTTGTGTCATAACATTTTATTTTTTTTTGGGTAAAAAATTGTATAGTTGCTGATTGGAGATTGATGTTCATATTGGAAAAAAATGGAGTTTTATATTTTGATTTTAATTAGGAAAAGAAAAACCTTAAAATCACTTCTTAAGTTAACTACAACAAAAACAGTCTACGTCAACGTTCGAAAAACGTTGCCGTAGGCC